GGGGGGGGGTGTCAGCTTCAAAGAACGGGTGCACTGCAGACCCATCACTAGGGAAGCAGAGGACCAAAGAGTGGTTCCTGTTCAGGAAGAAGAGAGACCCATTTCTGAGGTTTCAAAGGCAAACCGCTCCAGGAGCACTGCAAATACACCGAGAGTGCTCCGAGGTTTGTGCTGAAGAGACCAGAATAAAACAGTTAAGAAAAACCCCTCTTTCCCTGAAGTGAAGAGGCACTGGGGAGATCTCTTCATGGGAAGAAGAGCCAGCAGAGCACCTGTGGGCTGCCCCTGGCCCGGCTGCCAAAGGCAAAGGCTCCCACACTGAAGCAGTGAACAACAGACCCTCTCCACCCCAACAGCCAGGCTAGCCCTACCTTTGCCCATGGAACTGGCCCCTCGTAGCAGTAAGGGCCACCAGGGCACTGTGGTGAGCCCACGGGGCAAGCACACACTTTCAGATACAGAGCTGCTTGTGACCCAGCTCCTTTAACAAGGAGAACCAGGGCTGGAACGCGAAAGGGTGCACAGAACCAGCCCAAGGGCGACCGGCAAGAGCGATGCCGCATCTTGTGGAACATGAACGGCTAACTGATTGCAAAACATTCCATGGTCTGTGGATTCCACCCTGATCGGTTCAGCGGCCTCCACCCCGGGGCAGTCTAGGAGAGGCAAGAGGGTGCCAGAGGCCAGGCTCACCTGCTGCTGGAAGGGAAGAGTCTGTGCTCGGCAAAGCGAGCATCCAGCTGGGCCAGCATGTCCTGGCACTCGGTGTAGGAGAAGGGGTAGCAGAAGGCAAAGTAGGTGGTGGCACCTCGGCAGTCCAAGAAGCGGTGCACGAAGGACAGGACAAACTGGGTCTCCACCATCTGTGCAAGGGGGAGGAAGAGGCCAAGCTGAGTGCTGCTGCTGAGGGAGAAGCTGGTGCGTAGTCAGCCTCGACTGGGTATGGCTAGACGGAAGCATCTCCTTCCCTGGCTCTTGGTGGCAGTGACATAAACTGGTGGGAACCATCAGAGCTACCCGCAGCACATCCCACTTGAAGCCACTTGTGGGGCCAGGGCTGAAAGCACCCTAGAGAGACCGATCTTGGTAAACTGTAAGGACATCCCTCGCGAAGCAGCTGCAGCCACAGCAACCGCAGCATGCTCTGTCCTAGACCCCTGGAAGGGACTGAAAACAGCAATGCTCCAGCAGCAAGTTCAAAGCAAACTGCTCCTCCCAAACCACTGCCTTGGAGAACCACCAGGAGCACTGCAGAGGGAGGAAGGCCAGCAGCAGGTCTTGCTGAACCACATGGGACACCAGCAGCAGGAAATCAGGAGAAGAAGGGGGGGAAAACCCAACACGGCTGCCTTTGGAGGAGGACCCCCAAATCTGGATATACCAGACTGGAACCTCCCCAGCAGTGCTCACTGCACCAATACCTCAAAGACCGGTCGCTCACGGATGCGCTCCCAGCGGGGCCTGGCGGGCACGGTTCTGACCAGGGGCGTCATCCCTTGCGAGTACAGCTTAGTCTGTTTGTTCATGTTCACAATGTGAATCTTGATCAGCTTGCCAGGTGCGCCGCCCCGCACACTGAAGTAAAACCAGGATCTGGGGAAGGAAAGGGGAAGTGAGGAGAGCACCAGCTGCCCGTCAGACCCACTGGGAACTTGGAAGAATTCACATCCCTTCCCTGCCCAGCTGGGCCCTGAATGGGGAAACTGCTGGTGCTCTGCAATTCCACCCTCCTCCCCATTTCTCAAGGCTTTTCAAGTAACTGTCACAGGAGAGAGAACACTCCATCCCTGCCAAGTATCATCCGGCCAAACATCTGACACGGCTTTCCCATCGGATCCAGCCTGGTTGGCAGATATGTCTGTCTGTCTGTCCGTCCATCCCCTGTACCTGTTCCCATTCTCATATTCCGTGTCTCCGCAGTCCGGCTTGGTCCACACACTGAATTCATAGTCAGCCACGGGGAGGGAGGCACCAAAGACCATGGAGGCTGCGGAGGCACTGCCACTGCCATTTCCAGGGTGGTCCCCATCAGATTCGTGGTGTTCCACCTTCTCCACATGCGCCAGATTCCCAGAGTCAAACTTGGAGCTGAACAAGAGGCCCCCACAACGTATCTCCATTCTCAGCTCGCTGGCAGCAGAGCAGTTTCATCCTCCTCTTGGGAACAGATCATTCGGGGGACTCCCTCCCTAGACGGCTGAACAGACGGGCACATCTAACCCTCCAAGCTCCTCTGGATGCCATGTATTCCTCCTACTGGTGAAAGAAGAGTGAACAAGTTTGATTCTGACCTCGCAAATCCCACCATTCATGCCCACCCCTGTTCTGTCCAAATTAAACACTCCACTGGCTGCAAAAATAGTCCCACTGAAGCAAAATGAGATGCCCTAAAAATTCAGCAGCTGGAATTGAAACTCTATAATCCTGGGAAACTTTAAGCGACTTAAAGAATGTCATATCCCAAATGAAAAAGAACACACATGTGCTTGTTATTGCATGCCGAGTGCCCCAGACTCACGACATATATAATTCAATATAATTCAAACAATAACTCTTGCCATGTTTGTGTCCAAGAAGGGTAACACACAGCGCCATCAGCCTATAGGTCTGGAACGGGATTAAAATCAACAGGTTTATCCACTTCATTGTGCCATTCCCATCATCATCATCATCATCATGGTTACCTATTGCTAGGGTTGAGACTCTCTGACCAACCCCATTGGCTAAAGGCTGGGCTCTAGGCTTGGCTGGGGGAGGGAGATCTCAGCAGCCTTGACTGCCAACCAGAGGTTTGAGAAGCACCTAGGCTGAGCATGACAAGAATGCTCAGGCAGAAAAAGCAACAGGAGTTGTCTCCCACCCAGCCACCCCTGCAACAAGGGCCTTGGGTTGGTGTGAGTGCCAAGGGGCTGAAGCCCCCTTCCTATGAATACCGGAAGGTCACAGGGACTACAGCGACGCCCCCCCCCCCGCGCCCAGGGAGGAGTTCTGGAGCCCCGTCCGGTGTTTGCAAGCCTCCTTCTCTTGAGAAGCGGTCTTGGCCTTCCTTGTCCAGCCCTGGACGGGAAAGACTACAGAGGAAAGGCAAACCAGGCAAGGAGAGCCTCCAAGGACCTGCCCGGAGCAGCAGCAGCAGCAGCAGCTTCTGACTGGCTGAGCCACAGTCTGGAGTTCAGAGGGAGCAGCGAAGCCGCCCGGACCGCCAGCAACACCAGCTTGGGCAGGAGAAAACCGCTCCGAAACCCCCTGCCTGAGTAACAACCCGAATAAAACAAGCTGCACACGTGAAACTATAACAACAACAACAACAACAACAACAAGAAAGCTCTACAAGAAACGGCGCGGACGGATTCAAGGCTCCCTCGCCAGGGCCTTTACCCCGGGGGAGGGGGGCGGCCGGCCGGGCGCGAGGGCGGGATCCGCCCCGGAATGGGCTTTCCAGGCAGGGGGCTCCGGGCGGAGCCAAGGCGAGCCTTCTTCCCCCGGCGGGACTCCCTGCCACCAGACGCACGGGGGGGGGCGGCCGGAAGGATACGCACCTGGCCTCCGCCCGCCCGCCCGCC